GGTTCAAAAGATTCTTTACTTCTAGAAAAAGATCTGTGTGAAAGAGAACCTCTAGTTCTAGAAGAAGGGCCAGAACTAGGCGAAGGAAGAGAAGAACCACACAAGGATGAAGATCCTAAATTACGAAGCCTACCTCCTCTTCTGCTCCTACTGGGGGCATTTGGGAAGTTATCAACTATGGGGACCCTTCTTGGGTTAGGGTTTGATAAAGACATGATAGTACGAGGAAGAAACAAACAAAGATTCAAGAACTGAATATTTTGAGAACTTTATATGATAAAGACAAAGAAGAAAACTATATTTATACTGTGAAGCAACCGTCAAAGGAAAAAGTGCAATGATGGAAAAGTCGTAATGAGAACTGACGCTTCGTGGTTAATGAAGCCGTGAAAAAACCCTAAAAAGCGCTGCAAAGTTGCATAACCAGTAAAAGCGGTGTCGCGCATGAAGAGCATTAAATGGAAGTGACAAATGAAGCGTTGATTCTTCTATAGCATTAATGGTGACAAAAATTCCCGTTTTAATGAATTCCACTTCCCATATATTCAATTTATGAATAAATGGCAAGTGGGGGGACTATCTGTATAAAAAAAATTGAGTTTACATATTAAAGTGATTCGAAGATGACATGTCATGACACGTAGACTGGTCAAAGAGTTATGATTAGCAGAGAGGCACGAGTTGCAACAGATACGAGCAAAGGCATAAGAGGAGGCACGAGCGGATACTCAAAAGATTCAACGCCCGTACCTATTTAAGTCCAAGAATTAAGGAGAATGAATCTGACAGCACAAGAGAGTACAGATACAGTATTTAATGAGCATTAAATACTAAAAACGTTAGAAACTCTGTATTAAAATACAATGATTATGTAACGTAGCATTTAATGTCTTTAATTATCTATAATGGCCTTATTATGATAAAGGCAAAATGCATATTTCCAAGATATCTATAAAAGGGAAAGAATGGGTTAATTGTAAACACACAAAATACAATCTGAATACATTAGTTTTACTTTGTTATCTTATTGTTGGCAAAAATCACTTTCCTTTATTCATTCTTTAATTATCAGTAACCCGAGTTCTTCTAAATTAAGGCTTTAACTGAAATTCCACTTTTGGTTAAACAATTGTCATCATTCTATGACGAAGTCTCTACATAATTATTCGAGTTAAGTATTGCAGTAACAATATTTGGAGATAATTATTATTACTACAAGTTTGAGAACTCTCTTAATCAATTAATATTAAAGATAATTTCATACTTTTTCTACGTTTAGTCAGCTGTAATAAACTATTTATTCCAACTATTTTTTCCCCTCTTTTGGTGAGAAATGAACTCTTATACTCAGGGGCGAAGGCACGTTGAACAAGCGTTGTCACCCGTCACCTCTTGGTGTGAAGCTCTACAACTTTGCCTAGGAGGTCAAGGGTTTGAAACCTGGTAGGTTACCATATGTTTTTTAGGTTTTTTTTTTTTGGGGAGGGGAGGGGGGGGAATACAGAAAGCAGAGATTGAACCTCCGACTTCTAACCTAAAATGGTGTAACTAAACCTATTGAGCTTCCATATATTGAAAATGGAGTACTGAGAACTAATTTTATAAAACCATATTGGAACGTGAAGTTAAGCGTTTGTTCATTAATTTAAATGTCGACATCACTTAACAAAAAATTATCCGTACGCCCTATACCTACTTATAATTTGAATATAACAAAATAGTTATACAACCATTTCATATGTTCTATTTACAAATATTCTTAAAGGATCATATAATTGAATAACATCTGTAATAGACTACCAACCAAAATTCCTTTAATTTTTTGGTCTATCAAAATATTGTAATAGATACCTAAATTTCTATACAAAGAATCAATTACATGTGTATCACTACCCATTGGATTAATAGTGAATGGAATATGCATAAGAGAATAATTAATTTTTGTCCTATTTTTAGTCATAAACGCGAAGATATGGCAAATGGTATTGGTAGGTGCTTACGTGAGTGGGGGATAAATAAGATCTTCACTGTCACAGTTGATAATGCAAGCTCAAATGATGTGACAGTAAAAGAATTATCTAAGCAATTAACAAAAATGGGAACTAATTTGATGAATGGTACTCACCTTCACGTGAGATGTATGACTCACATCATGAATCTTGTGGTCCAGGATGGTTTAAAAAAATCTTCAGTTTCTATTGAACGTGTTAGGCATGCAGTGAGATATGTTAGGCAGTCTCCTGCGAGGTTGAAGAGGTTTCAAGAATGTTTTGATGCTGAACAACTCAATTCTAAGAAAACTTTATGTTTAGATGTTCCAACTAGATGGAATTCCACCCACTTGATGTTGCGCAGGGCTGTTGAATTTGAAAGTGCATTTTCATATTATGCTTCTAGTGAAATTGGCTTGAGACATTATCTTGAGCATTCTTATATTGATGTTGGAATTCCTACAGGTGAACTTTTGAGTAGTGATTGGGAGAATGTAAAAAGAATTACAAAATTTCTTGAAATCTTCTATCTTCTTACTTTGAAGATATCTGGATCACGTTATGTTACATCGCATATTTATTTTCTTGAAATTTGCGCAGTTTCTGTCTATTTGAAGCAATTGATAGCAAATGAAGATATAGTTTTAAGTGAAATGGCAAAGAATATGAAAGAAAAGTTTGATAAGTATTGGGGTGATCCAGGGAAAATGAACAAGATATTTTTTATCTCGTGTATTTTGGATCCACGTTACAAGATCGAATCAGTTGGCTTTGCACTTGTAAAGATGTTTGGTGTAGATACGGGGGCAACTATACAAGCAGAAGTGACGAAGTACATGACTTCATTATTCAGTGAGTATGTAAAGTCCAGCTCAAAAGGTGTTGTGCTTGCTTCATCTTCAGATTGTTCTTCATTGGACACTTCGACTTCCGGGCTTTCTGGAAGTCAAGCAAGCACCCAAAATATAGGACTTTTAGAATCCCTCATGCAAGATATAAAAAAATATAAAAGTGGGAGTGGAGGTGTTGATACTAGAACAGAGTTAGATAAATATTTAGGTGAAGAAACTAAGGATGACACTAAAGAATTTGATATTCTTCTTTGGTGAAAATTGAACTCAGCTAGATTTCCTATTCTTGCGGAGATGGCTCGTGATGTATTAGCTGTTCCGGTTTTAAGTGTGGCATCCGAATGTGCATTTAGTACGGGAGGACGTCTTCTTGATTCATTTAGGAGTTCATTAATTCCTAAATTGGTGCAAGCTCTAGTGTGTCTTCAAGATTGGATTCGAAATGAAAAATTAAAAAAAAATCATTAGTGTTGAGGAAGATCTTGATAAAATCGAGCAGCTTGAACAAGGTAATAATATTGTTACTATATTTGTTGTATATAAGTGTTGTTGATATGCTTATATTTATCGCACGACTCATTATTTTAATTTTGTTTTCTTCAGATTTAGCCAGCAATGGAAAAGACCCTTCCATAATTGACGTGTAGTGTTAATATATTTGGTAAGATTATTCATTAGCAATTCTTTTTCTGAAACTCATACTTTCAAACTCAAAATCAGTATATCCCATTTACAAACACTCAGCAATCCTTTTTGTACAAAAATTGGAAGCATAGGCATCCACTTTTCAACTTGTTTTACTGCAACCTTTGTGACTTTCCCAGGACAACAAAGTTGTTCATATTTACACCAGAAGATATCAACTTCTGATTCTCCAAACAAGAACCAGAGGCAAAATTAGCAAAGTTCAACATAGATGTTGACACCTACTTTTTGATGAAATTACATGATTATGTTTGTCTGCTTTAGAGTTTAGATGACTTTCTGATGATCAACAATGTCTTTTTTGCACGCGCTCTTTAATAATATGTTTGTCATCCAAATGCAGGTCGAGCATGGCCTTTTGTTTGAGCCCGAGCGTGAAGAAATTGCTCAGGAACCAACTTTATCTGTTGTGTAACTGTGTGTCAAGGCATCAGCCACTATCTTGATCTGACTTTATCTACTGTGTAACTTGTAAAGTTGTACAGCCCTGAAGATCTTTAGCATGCAGCTCTGTTGACTTTATCTGCTGCGATGGTGTTTAACTGTTGTGTAACTTGTAAAGCTGTTTGTAGCTCTACTGACTTATTATTATCAGTACAGTCCTGAAGAACTTTAGCATGCAGTTCTGCTGACTTTATCTGCTGCGATGGTGTTTATTTGCTTTGTATGTAAAAGCATTTTTCTGTGCAAAAGAGTAACTTAGTTTTCTTTTTGTTGTTTGATAATGTCTACTGAATTTTATATTCTTGAGTAGAAGTTGCAGAAGAAGAGAGTGAAAGGAATTTAAAGTAATCAAGTTTCATACTAACATACATATTCACTAAATTAAATAAGTAGTGTATATATGTGGCACCACTTCAGTTGGATGTGTCTTTTCCTTCACTGAAAGGCATTAATGGAGTTTACTGTTTAGCACGGTTAATATTTTTGTTCAACATACAACTAGAAAAAAATGTTGCCACGTTTTTTATTGTGCTTTTGGTATCATGCTACTCATTTGTGATGATTGGTGGTGTTCTATTCTTTAAATTCAGCTGGGGACTATGATTCTGGGGACTATGATTCTGAAGACAATGTCCTCTAGCACTTTCCTTGTTGGCCTCAATCATCATTTGTGAAACTGGATTTGGATTACTATCTTTCTTTTGGATTACTATCTTTCTTCGTAAAGTGCTGAAACAAGGAAAACGCAATTTAGTGAATATGCATGTTAGGCCGATAAACCGCCCGATAAGAGCTAAATCGATACCAATTCGCCCGATATCTTATCGGGTAGCTAACGGATTAATACATTTAAAAGTCGATAATTGTTAAGCCAAACCGTTAAGAGTAAAAAACCGCTCAATCCGCCCGATAAGCAGCCCTAGTTGTCGTCCATTGTAAAGTTGCTGATAGCAAACCTAATCTAAAAACAAACCTGACCCATTAACCCCACCCATACGGATTACAAAACTCAGGCCATAAACAGAATATTTCAATAAGAAGCTGCAAACACACAGACAACAGAGATCACATTACATGAAATTTTACGTCTGTGTTAATCCAAGTCCCTAGCATAAACACCAAACCCCAAAAATAATTCACAATTCTACAGATAAAAAAAAGGACATGACCAATTTATTTATCTATTACTAATCAACAATTCTGTAGAACTCCATGACATACTTATACAGCGCGTGCTTCATTCGCAGTTTCACCAATGGTTGACAAACCGTTTTGAAATTCTAGGCCTGCAATGAATACAGAGTAAAAAAATTCTCAAACAATTCTCAAACAGAGTAAAAAAAGAAATAATATTCTCTTATACGCAATGAATACCATAAAACGGTTTTTGTAGTATTCAACCAGTCTCTTGGGATCCAAGACTTTCGTTTGCTTGTAACCATCAATCTTGTTGACTTCCTGTAAGGCGATCACAGAGTAAAGTTAGTTATCCACGAAAACTAATGTAAAGTGGATGAGCCGCTATTAAGTAAATCTCCAAAATCTTAGCTCCTATACTTTTATATAGGTGAATCATACGCACTTATGCAACTGCAAAAGACCTTCCATGATCAGCGACGGAACCAGAATTTGAGGTTTATGAGTAGAGACGGACCTACGTACAAGTTAGAGGGGTCACCGACACCACCTAAGCTCGGGAAAAATCTTGTATATATATATATACCTTGGAATATGGATGGATATATACTTGATTAGGCACCCTCATACACAAAGCTTAGCTAGGGGCACTGGTGGCGTCTACAACTTAGTTAGGGATCAAATCCAGCTCGAGCAATGCTTTATAATTATCTAGATTTTCTCCTTTTTTTCCTTTAGATTCCGCCCTTCATTCCCTTTTTCTTTTGATTAGACCACTCTTTTAAAAAATATCAAATTTACTTCTCTCCAAGCTATGATCAGAAACTTAGAACTTATCTCTCTCTGAATTTTTAGCTAGCAATTGGCATGCCTCATGACTATTTTAGGAGTGGTGCCCCCGATGCCTCCAAATCATGGGCCCGCATCTACGTATGGGTTTGGGATTCTAGTTTTTTAGGTTATTGGGTTCTGAACATATTTAATGAATTTCTTTAAACAAATACAAGGTTTGAAACGAAGTTACTGGGATTGACCTAACTCATAATTGACACACTAGCTCCGCCCCTGTCCATCATACATCTTTTCGGAGAGCACTAACATTCATATTGGAATAGTAGTCCATATCTAGTAGTAAAGTAATATTAGTCATACCTCAATCCATTTGGCTAGTTTCGGCCTCGCAGATGTGATATCATAGTTAAACACCTCTTGCAGGAAAATTTGGAACCTTTCGATGAATGGAGCATATGCTATGTCAACCTAATACACCAAAAATTTCTTTAGTATGATGAAATTTCATATTCTGGAAAGATATATCTACACTACTCTAAATTGGTTATATAGCATATTTTACTGCAAAGCTACTATAAAGTAAGAAGTCGTCACCTGACTGAATTGACCGAGGAAGAAAGGTCCGTCGTCAAATTTTGCGAGAGCTTTTTCCAGGTAATCAAATTGTGCTCCTAGTACAAGTGTGAACGAACTACAGTTAATTTACACATGGAATTCTTACCAAGAATACGTAACGAGTTTTGAAGTGCCAAAGCAAAAGAACCTCACCAGCCAGTATCTGTGCATCTTTTTTAAGCGAACCATATACTTCCTTGACGAATGTATCACTATAGGCTATCAATTCTTCAGCAAACTTCTGCTTTTCCGGATCCTACACCAGTTTACAAACTTGTGTCAATTTCAGAACTAATCCTTGGTCTCCCCATTTCTTTTTAAAAGGGGGAGCGGAAGAAGAACGGTCAGTAGCAGCAAGAACGGAATGCTGCAGCTTACATCAGGCAGAAGAGATGGCCCTTCAAAGTTACTATCAACATACTTAATCAGATCCAAACTTTCTCCGATCACTTTGTTGTTGTGCTCCAAAGAGGGTACCTACGATAGCAAGAGGCAAACAAGCATTATAGTCAGTACTCATAGAACCTACAGGCCAATTGCTAGATGTCAAAATGTTAGGTCAAGGCATTACACTTGGTATGCATACATAAATAGTGAACGGCCGAGCAAAAAAACAGCTTCGTGTTTCCGGAACAATCAACAATTACCTTATTTTCCGCGTAAACTTTTTCCTTGTACCAAGTAGGCCTATTCTGAAGGTCAATTGGAACTAACTTGATCTTATCTTGCAAGCCCTGAAATTCAAGGTTTTTGAACTTTATTCAGCTAACCAATCCCATTGTCAGGTCAAAATATACATGAACTAAGAAAATATTAAGATTGAATAATATCAATTCCCTTTTGAAGAACAATAGGGAACAACAAATTAAAAGTTCCAAGTGACACCCTTCTCCCACCCCATTAAGCATGACTCAAGAAAACATGACAACTTAAAAAGAGGAACACAAGGTAACTCGTTTCTGGTGTTTGGATAAGGGTTAAGCATTTAGTTTTGATGAATTCGGACATCAATTTCAAATCTTTTTTAATCAAACTTTGCATACGTAGAAATTTCAAAAGTACTAGTAGTACTATATGTCACAACTGTACATAGTTTAGAGCGTATAAAGTTTTTGAAACAATCTTAGTAAAAGAAAAAAACTTGGTTCTCTAAACAATAATAATCATGTCACACCATAGCTCGGGATGTGTGGAGTAGGCTCACATCACGAGTTCGAACCCTGTAGCAAACAAAACCCTGGTATTTAAGTGGAGAACGGTAGAAGGACGGGACTAATATGCACCGATTTTCAAAACCCTGTGCCAGTTGGCTCTCAAGATTTCTCGATTATCGAAAAATTCCATCTAAAATTGTAAGATGGTGCAAACATATGAGTCATACGTAGCCAAATCATAAACTAATGAAACGAACCTTGACATTCCTGATAATCCACACACGCTGAGCATAGGGGCACATATAATTGATGTATAACCTTCAGCAAAAAATGAAAACAACAGATCCACATCACCAATCTCCACTCAAATAAATCAACACCATCAAGAAGAAATTACTCTTTTTTCCTTCTAAATGCAGACAAGAAAGAATGAGTGATAGGCCATAAAAAGAGAAGTAAATAAAACCTGGTAGTTCCGTCGAAGAGAGACGGAGGTTGGGAAGTAGAATCAAGTGATGGTGGAAGAACTTCTTGAACACTTCTACACAAATAAAACAAACAAAAATACCCATCAACGCCCATATCAAAAGCAAAGTGAAAATTCAACAATTACATATACATACCTATACAACCATTACTAAGATGCAAGATTTATAATGGCCCTGTTGTATCAGCCGCTACCTATTTTTGTATAAAATTGATAGATTTTAAGTACTATTCTATGAGCGCCGGCTAACTGCGATGCTGGGATTTGAACGTTTTTACCCGTTTCATTAAACACTAGGCCGCAAAAACACCATTTCATTAACCACTAGGTACAGAACCAACACTTGTAACAAGAAGATTCAGAGAAACACTAGAATGTCACACCTGGTTTCTAAACCTGTGACAGTAAATTGTTGAATCATCATTGTCACAGAAAAGTTCTTGCTTCAAGAAAATTCAACAATTGTTATATGTACCAAAAAATTTGTTTTTATCCTATTTACGCGATATAATTTTCTAATTAAAATGATTCAACTAACCCCTTCATTAAACTTAGCTTCATCTTGACTAGGCTACAACCTTGGACAATGTAGTAATTTTTTTTTTCCAATCCTTAAATGATGTATCAACCACTAATTTCATGACAACTTTTCTAACCCCTACTTTTTAAATTTAATATAAATATAATGCTTTAAAAGATTTAACCATATACTCCCTCCACTCCAACAACAACAACAACAATAACGACCCAGTATAATCTCACAAATGGAGTCTGAGGAGGGTAATATGTACGCAGACCTTACCCCTACCCCGAAGGGTAGAGAGACTGTTTCCAGGAGACCCCTCCACTCCAGTTTAGGTGAATTTATTTCTTTTTTGGAATTCCTTCCAAAAAGAATGAACTCTTTCTAAATTTAAAAAGAATTTAGCTTAAACTTCCAATTCTACCCTTAATGAGAAACTTTTATAATCACACAACTACTCTGGGCCTCTTTTTAACTTGTTTAGGACCACAAATTCCAAAAATCTTTTTTTTACTTCGCGCACACTCAAATAGATTCACGACGGAGGGAGTAATATACAACTTAGAAAGAGGGCGTAGGAACGATGATAAAGTTATTTCCGTGTGACCTATAGGTCACAGATTCAAGCTATGAAAGCAGCCATCAATGCATGTATGAGGATATTGTGCCTACATCACAGTCTTAGGTACGATACTTCTCCGAAGTATGTGTGAACGCAGTCGCAGGATGGTGCCTGGTGTACCGGCTGCCCTTTTTAGTACATATTTTCAGATGCACTCTTCTCCACATACTGTTATTTCGTCCCTGATCACTGTTAACTATTTGCTACAAATTAAACTAGGTGATCAATTGAAAATTAATGAAGGAAAAAAGAGGAAGCTAAACTAAGACTTACGGGGTAGCCATTGATGCTAATTTTTTGCTCCTATGAATGCCAGAGAGAGAGAACTCAGAAAATTCTGGAAGTATGAATTGATAGGAGTATGAGAATGAGAATTGAGAACTTTATAGAGGATACGAAGATGTTGTTTGAGCAGAGCAGTGACGAAGTTACGAGAAATGCAGAGAGTTTTTAATGTATGTGAAGGTCCATGGTAAGAGAAATAGGGTGAATTTTTTCTTTTTTCATTTTGTGTCTGTAGGGAGAATTAATTTAAATTCATGCGGCGTAAGATTTGGTAGAGAGCAAAACACTTTTAACAAATATAAAAATTATTTTTAGGACACAAAATTATGATCTCTGATTAATAGTTTCTTTGGCCAAGTTTTTAAAATTAATTTATTTTAAAAAATATTTTTCTCAAAAATATTTTTCAAAAAAATATTTTTGGTGATAAGCAGTTTGTGTTTGGCTAATTAATTTAAAAATTATTTTTGAGCAATAATTAGTATTTGATCAAGCTTTTAAAAAATACTTTAAATATATTTATCTCAAACATATTTTTTTAAAAAGTAATTTCGTAAAGAAGTTATTTTCTCCCTTCTACTAAAAAAAAATTATCTTTCAAAAAGTTTGACCGAACGCCTTTAACATTGTAAAAAATACATTTGGCAAACAAAGAAACACACTTTTCGCCAATTAAAAAAAAATCTTTGTCCAAATAAGAATCATATTAATCTCAACATAATCTTGGGTGATAAATGGGGTGAACTTCTGATATACATGAAGATGACGTGGTTCCTGAGAGTTATCGATAAGCTCACGTCATTACTGACGCAAATATGATGACATTAATTTCGAAATAATCTGTTAAAGAGTTTATCTGAGACTACGTGGCATTTGGAAATTATTTGCGAGTTGGAAATGTGTTCTGAATGATGTCCACGTTTTGGATTTTCAGGAGACATACGTTGGTGTTTTGAAACATATATTTAATTCTCACTTTTCTGATTTTCTCTCTTTTGTATTTATTTGAATTGTATTATACGTAATCATTTACGAAATAATTACTATGTTTTTTAAAATGTAAATAGCATTAAATTGGAAGATAGTTTGTAATTGTTGTTCTTGATCGTTTGAGATGTCAATTCATGACAATTAATAGTGATTACAACTTCAATTTCCTCCACTTAGGTGCTCAAATAAACTCTGTATTGATTTAGGTTTTCATATTGTAGGTTGAATACTTTTGATTCCGAATTTGTATTTAGATCTTTCCAAAATTACAATTATAAATTAAAAATTATCAAGTTTGATCTCACCTAATCTAACTTTTGAGAAATTTGAAGGTGAGATTCATGAATGTATGCAGACGATTTAAAAGTAGGAATACTTAGGACCACAATAATCCGGTGGCAATTTAGGAGGTGAGACTCGCTCCCTCATTATAGAGGTGACTTCTTTTGACTTTGCAATAGAACTGCCTATTTATTGATATATTTTTTTGGTTGAAAAACGAAATTCATTAAAACTTAATTAGTTACAACGTATATCCCATTGAGACTATAAAAAACATCTAAGCAAGTAGGGCTGTTAGAGATAGAGTTACTAATACTACTAAGGCTCCCAAGTTCAGCCAAACTATTTAATACGTTTGTAATTACTAGTATAGTGTTAGGTGCTCCAATTTTGTCCTCCCGAAGACTTTCAAAACATCCCAAGGTGGAGAGCTTAATGTTGCAAGGTGGTTGGTGCTAGCTTGTAACGACCCCACCGGTCATTTCGAGAGTTGTAATCTAGTTCCCCCATTTATTGTTCGTTTTGTACTTTATAGTTGTTATGTGACTTATCAGGATAGTCGGTTCGGGTCCGGAGGGATTTCAGAATGAATTGAGACACCGAGTTTTGTTGATACCTAATTTTTACCTATATTTTTTATATGCATAAATACCTTCAAAATAGCATATACATGCATATATAAGCGTGCACAAGGTTTTTATAATTTTTTTTCATAATTTTAAAGATTTAAATTGATTTATTTCCTTCCCTTTTATTCATAAACCTCAATAATTATTTCCCAAATTAATGTTATGGTGACTTAGTCATTTAATTTCTATATTTATGCCAAAATATGGTTAAAATATTTTTTATGCATTTTCATAATTGCATTTTGTATTTTTAAAGCTAAATTGCATATAATTGCAATATTAGCCCCATTAATATATAATTACGTTTATATGCATAAAATTGATCTCCTATATTTTTAAAATGTTAAAAATATATTTTAAATTATTTTAGTGCATAAAATTATTTTTCAAAAATTATTTATTATTTATTATAAATGATATAAGGAAAATTGGCTATTTAAAATATAGCCAGATTGACATTTCAATTGTAGCCTAAATTGAACCCAACCCCAGCCCAATTTCATATTAAACTACCCGACCCAAACCCTGAACCCACCAACCCAGCACCAATTAAATCCTGGTCGTTAATCTCCCAGATCAACGGCCCGTATCAGCCCTTTCCCTTTTTAATTCCAACTACACCCTAATCCTACCTCATTTCCAAATATCGCCGCCTCTGTATACTCTTTTCTCTCAACCACCCAACCTAACCCTAGCTCCCTTCAACCGCCGCCTCCTTCTCCGGTGACCAACCTTCAACTCCTAAGCCTGTAATGGCTCATCTATTGCCAAGCTCATCTTCTTTGAGGCCTTCAAGGGCCCTGGGCCACGCCGGCTTGTATCTAGGGTTTTTTATCTGGCTGTTCATGGCTACTACGGTGTGATTCCGAGCAAAATCACACTGTTTTGTTACGATCTTTGGGTTTCTAAACAAGTTCTTCCATCTCTACTTGGGTTTCTTCTGAAAACCTAATTTTTGTTTACAACTCCTAGATCTATACGATTTTTAAACAATTTGAGTCTGTTCTTTTGATATTTTACACTGTTCTTGAATCTCTTTTACAAAAATCATCGATTTCAAGTATTTTTTACCTTTTTCTCAAACTAGGATTTTCGGAACTTCTTCTACACTTCGTTTAAACCGATTCTTTATGTTTAAACTTCTATCCCTTGCATATTTTGACTGATTCTATGATTTTACTCCTTTTTTAACTCGCTTATGTTGAAAACCCTAATTTCTTAGTTCTAATCTTGGGTTTCTGAATTTTGTTTGATAACATGTTCAGTTAATCTGTATGTTTCTATGATTCTGTGATTTTTGCCTTATGTTTGCTTGTTAGGGTTCCTAATTGTGGTTATCCCTGCCTATTGTGTGATTTTGCCTTATTTTGTTTACCAATGTTTTGATTCTTCACTTCTCCTGCCTGTATCATGCTTAGCTTACAAATTCAGACTATGCTCTACATGAATCCCTAATTTTATATATATAATTCTTGTCCTAATCGACCTCTTAGGGTTCTGGTTTTGCTTACCATGTGTTTGTTCTTATAAAGTGGTTCTAAATCAGTACTATCTTCTATTTTTGAATCCCTGAATCTTTGTGATTGATCCTTCACTGATTCCGCATGATATCTCTACTGATTGTTACCTTGTAGAATGTTTTCTGACCTTATTCTATGGTCAATTATGCTATTAATTGATTTCTTAAGTCTTTCCTTGATTGAAATATACTGAACCTAGCCTCTAATATATGTTGTGTACTTGTACTATGCAGAAAATATTTTCTTATTTGTCATGTTCAGCCTTATACGATTTTCTTCCTTATTTGTCATGTGTCTATTACCGTTTGAAGTTAACTCCTCAATTAAAGGGAGTACTTGCCTTGATTTCCTGGCTGGCTGATTCTGAGTTCCATAATTACTGATGGACTTTGATTTTTACCTTATTTTGCTACATGCTTTCAAACTATATATACACACTCTCTTATCAGCACAAACACACGAACACTCTTGGTTTCAAAACTCTCTCTCACACTTAAAATTTTTTGCTCTCTTTTGTGCTACTTGCTACTACTCAAAGTTAGTCGGCTGCAAGCCAAGGCTAGCCATTGTATTCTCCTGCTCTTTCACTTTGCTTATTGTTCTCTTTACTGGTATGTTCTAGTTTCAATTCAAAGTTCCAACAACAATATGATTATTTTATTGTTTCAGTTCATCCTATTTCTGATTTACTTATATTTATGGTTTTGTTGTGAAACTTGTAGTTGATGTTTACATTATTATGTACTCCCCTTTCTTAAGATCAGTATGTTACCCCTCTGTGTTGTTTCTGAACATGTCTGCACCAATTATCTCCATGTGTTTACCACCATGTGTTCCATGTATCCCCAAACCCCTATCAACCGTGTATGTGAGTTTGTTCCTTATGTCTGATTCTGTGACTATGTCTGGTCAGCTATTTCTGAGCATGTCTATACCAATCCCTAGACCTTTGCTTGATTATGTGTTCACAATTCTATGTATCCCCAAATCCCTTGACCCCTGCTTGACCACTAAACTTGTTTTGGTTCCATGACTACTGGTTGTGTATGAACCTGTCTTAAAGATGTTGTGTTTGGACTTGTGCTGACTACTCCACTCTCTTTCAAACTGCCCATGTTGTGTTACTTAATCATTTTCAAACAAACTTCCTTTTTAATACAGTTTTTCCTTAAAACCTTTCAACTTGTGTCAAGCATTTTCACTCTACTCCTAAGTCAATAAGTCCTGCCCCCTCCAGTATGTGTACTGCCTTGGGATCCTCTTGAGAACCCTCTGAACTCTGGCATACTGAGGCTTGCCCTTCCACACTACACTTATTCAATTTTGGTTATCAAGTCTAGGTGTAAGCACTGTCTGGGATCCTTGAGATCCTTAGGGAACTTTGATGCACCTAGACTATGATTTTGTCTATAGAATTGAGGCATTTGAGGCTATTGGAGGCTTTTGGAAATCTGGGCCTAATTGAAGGCTCCCTATATAATAGCTTCTTGTTTTCTTATTTACTTATGTAATTCATTCATATGGTCTGTAATAACTTGTAAATAAGTATTGGGGTAACTAGTGAAAGGGATGGGTAGCTACATGTTTATGGGGTAATATGGGTAGAAATCATGCTCATATGACTTTACATTTAATCTGATTGTTGTATCAAGTAGAAATCATGCTTATAGGACTTTACATTTTGTCATCTCACTATGCTAGAAATCATGCTAGGTTTTAAATAATTC